CCCCCTGCATGCCCCTGCCCGGCTGGGTCCTCACCTGCGCCGCTTTGCTCTCTCCTCCCTCAGGTTTGTGGAGACGGTGGAGTTACAGATCAGCCTGAAGAACTATGACCCCCAGAAAGACAAGCGATTCTCCGGCACCGTCAGGTTCGGCATCCTCTTGCTCCCACCCAGCCTTCGGCCTGTGTCCCCCTCTCTGCTGCCCGGCCCTCACAGGGTCTGCCATAGCAGGAGGACGCAGTGCTGAACTGCTCGGGTAGTTCAGACCACCCCAGCTAAGTGGGTGCGGCTGGACGGACCCCTACCCTGGGTCTTAAAACATGAGGGGAGGTGTGGTAGGCCCCTGTGCTGTCCCCACCGACCTGCTGGAGAAGGCAGGTTAGAAGCTGTGGAGGAAGATTCCCAGGCACTGTGGTAAGGTATCTCCGTGATGGCTCCCATGGAAGTGTGTGCGATTCTGGCGGTTCATAGTAATTTGGACCTTCTGTCCCCAGGCTGAAGTCAACTCCACGGCCCAAGTTCTCGGTCTGCCTGCTGGGGGACCAGCAGCACTGCGATGAGGCCAAAGCAGTTGACATCCCTCACATGGACATAGAAGCTCTGAAGAAACTTAACAAAAACAAGAAGCTGGTGAAGAAGCTGGGTGAGTGGTGGTGTGGATTGGGCTTGGAGTACTCTGGCTAACTTGGGAGGGCTGGTTAAGCAGGATGGTTTTCCCTGTGCTTGGGTTTCCATATCATGATTAACTGCAGGGAAGAGGAAAAGCTGACCAGAAGGCTTTCAGGAAAGCTGATCAGAGTCAGCCTGAAGAGCAGAAATCTGTCTAGAAACTACTCAGAAAAGCCAACAAACTTAACAGTGTAGAAAGTCTACAGGCCAGCCTACCAGGACTGAGGGTGATTTCCAGAAGGAAGGAAAGGATACAGGAAAATGTTCTGTCTCTCTGAAAATTTCACCCGTAGCTGGTGTTCCTCACTTTCCTCGTCAGGGAGCCGGAGTGCAGCAAAAGCAGAGAAAAACTGGAGGCAAAAGTTTGATTCAGTCCTGCAGTACTTAGACGAACAGAATTAAATTTGCTTATTTTCTCTTGGTAAGAGAGAAAATCCTTCCCTTCCTGTAAAGTCAAGGTCATTTTGATATGTATCTTAGGCAGACAAGAAAAACTTCCCACTCAATCCACAATTAACCATAGAACCTTATGGAATTGGGAAGTGCCACAGGATACCACAGCTGCTAGCTAAGCCTCTGTAAGATGTGTGATCCGTCCATCCACACGTGCACAGGCTGCAGCAGGAGGCTCCTGGTAGAGCTCGGAGTTTGGCATCAGTCGCCTATGGCTCGACAAATGCTTCAGGGAAATTAACTGCATACAGTAATGGTGTGGGACTGCTGTCGGGATGTGAAGCTGGGTGCTGGTGGGCTTGGCTCGTGTGCCAGGAGGAATTTCTAATATTAATAAAAACTGGTTAAGTTCAGCTAGGCAGGACTCCAGGAGTGTGGAAATGCACACGTGAGGGGAATAGAGCACCGCAGCCTTGGCTGAGCTTGGTGTAGGAGCCGAGAGTCCGTCCTTACCTGCATTGGTTCTCTCCTTACAGCCAAGAAGTACGATGCCTTCCTGGCTTCCGAGTCCTTGATCAAGCAAATTCCTCGAATCCTGGGTCCAGGTCTGAACAAAGCCGGCAAATTCCCTTCTCTCCTCACTCACAACGAGAACCTGGTGGCCAAGGTTGATGAGGTCAAGTCTACTATCAAATTTCAGATGAAAAAGGTAAAAGCAGGGCTTTTCCTCTCCAAGGCAGCTACATACCCGAGGGTTGTTCGTGGCAGGTGGTCACTCGTGTGTGGCTGCTGTCTCCAGTGTGGGCTGTAGGTGTCCCTCGAGCATCTTCCTAAAACAGCAGCGGGTGAGAAGCATCCAGTGCTCTCCTGCAGCAAAGGGAGACAGTACCCGGAGCATTTTAATCTGCGATTGAAAGATCTTAGAGCAAATGATTAGTTGATCTTGATGTTTCAATGCTGAGCACAATCAGTCATAGTTCACGCTTCTTACAGTAAGTGGGTGACACTTGGAGGGTGGGGCCCGCAGGCCAGGCATGCCCCCGTGGGTCTGGGCACGCAGCAGTGCCTGGCCAGAGGCGAGTTTGGGACTTGACGCTGCAAGTGAACTTTGGAGCAGCTCTGTGGATATCTGCTCTTGCTGTCAAGAGATGTCAAGGCAAGCTGACTCCCTAAAACCAAAATAACCCTGTTCAGGCGTTTTAATCTTGTGTCAGCGCTCTAAATGTGACTCATGGGTAGTATTCAGAATTAACAGCTCTGCTAGTTGAGGTGATTCCTTGGACTCCAGCTGATCTGGGCCTGGGGGCACAACAACTGGGAGGGCACAGCAAGTGTGATAGTTTGCAAATGCTCAAGCGTTTTAAGTAACTGAGCTAACTATGTCCTGACACTTTGCCTGTCAGCTCGCTCGTAAATCCTTTTGTCTTCAGCCTGTGGGGAACATTGACTTACAAGCTTCTCGGCAAGGCTGGCAGGCAGAGGCTTGGCCTCTCTGTGTGTTATGTGCGGAAAGAAAGGGCTGGCGGCTGGTGCCCAAAACAAAAAGTGAAGCTGGCACCGTGCTTAGCAGTGAAGTTTGGAGCGAATCGCCTGTACTGCACCGGATTAGCGGTTTGCAGGGCACATGCCAACGCTGCCTCATGAGCAGGGGCTGGGAGCAGAGTTAAACCAGAGGTCTGCTCCTGCTCCAGTGCCAGTTCAGCGCAGCGTGTTCCAAGTCCTTCCCGGTTTCCCCATCTCTGGGAGGCAGCGGTGCTCCCTTCCTTCTCCAAGTCACCTTTGCCCTCTGAGGATGCCACACCTACCCAAGCTGCTGTTCAGAGGTGACATCCAGATGCTACCAGACGTGTTCATGGGAGCCACATGCCAAATAGTGAGCTCTGGGGCTAAGGCACATCCAGCTGACAGACCGTGAGATTATTTAGTACCCTGATGAACTTAGATCAGCACTAGGCTGTTTTGTCAGTCACTTAGCTGTAGTCTTTGATTTCTCCACAAAACCTCTACCTCCATGAGTTGACCCTGGTGTCCTTGTCCCCCAGGTGCTCTGTCTGGCTGTGGCCGTCGGTCACGTGAAGATGACAGAGGACGAACTCGTCTACAACATCCACCTGGCCATCAACTTTCTGGTGTCCTTGCTGAAGAAGAACTGGCAGAACGTGCGTGCTTTGTATATCAAGAGCACCATGGGGAAGCCCCAGCGCCTCTACTAATTGGGCAGCAATAAACTTTTAGGACACCTACAGCTGTCTGTCTGGTTGCATTCCTCCAAAACTTGTCGGGAAGGGTTTGCTAAAGAGCTGCTCGCTTCCTTGTAGCCAGAGAGGTCTCAGGCTGTGTTGAGCTGATAGGGACATGAATTCAAGTGGAATGTAAGACTATCAGAGCTTAGGAGGGAAGGAGCCTCCTCATCCTGTGTTCAGAGCAGGGTGGGGAGGTGAAACAGCTCCACTCGTGTTCCAAACAAGGAAAACTGAGATAGATAGCACAGCTGAAGATGCGTGGTGCAGGCAGAACTGCTCAGCAGCTGCGCTGGAGCTCCAGGATCCCCCAGCTCACCCCTGGAGAGGGCCCTTACCTCATGCTGCGGTCACCTGAAGCCATCCTGTGTGCCGGGCTCTGCCCTGTCCCAGCAGCCTCTCCTCTCTGGGGGGAACTCTGCATTTATAGGCTTTTCCTGCCCCCCAGCAACCAACGACTGGGGCCACGGGGTCCTGCCCAGCAGCAGCTCATGAGGACTTGATGGTTCTCTTCCAGCTGGTCCCAGTTACCCCCAGGATCCAGAGGGATGGAGGGTGCTGGGGGAGCGTGGGGTAGGAGCTGCAGCTCGGCGAGTGGGTTGGGGCCAAGGTAGAGAGGGTTTTCAACCCCGCTGCTTTCCCCTGAGCTAGTCCTGGGCTAAAAATGAGAGATGATGCATCTAATTAATGTATATAAATAAATACATTGTGTAATGACTAGTGAGCTTATGGAAGTCTGTAGGATTTAAACTTCTGGGGAGAGAAAAAAACCCCAAACCCGTATGCCCTTGAAAAGAGCTTGTCTTAGCATCCGAGGGAACAAAACAATGAAAATAGCTTTGGATCCTGCTGTTAGAGACCTTTAAAATAAGCATCAGAGCCAGTTTCTGAAAGATCAACACAACACCAAGAAATTCCATTTAATAATTAAAAAAAGACAATACAAAATGCAAACATTTCTTTTTACAAAGTTCAGATACATTTTTTTTTTCTTTTAATCAAGTGCAAATAACTTCATGAACTACATCTTCCTCATTAATCGTGTTTGCTGGAGATGGTAAGTTGTGGCCCACTGCAAAAGGCAGATATAAATATTCCAACATGAAAAAACCCCAAAAAACCCCAACAACCCTTACTTATGTTCACCGCATAGAAACATTCAATACATCTGAGAGGTGGCTGATGGGCGGTTTTCAGCCTTTCAAACCCTTTCTGAGTCGTGAAGAGAGGGACTGAACTGCAGTGGGGTGGTTCTGGTGGCACTGTGGACTTTTTTTGGGGGGGTTATTTGAGTTATTTGTTACCAGGTGTCTTTGGCCACTAGCGGAGGATGTGCTGCCCGCTTCGCCCTTCCAAAACGGCTTTAGGGGAGCAGATGTGGTTGGTGCCGTGACAACGATGGCAACCGGGATAACCCAAGGCTCCGGGAGCCTCAGTGCCCCACAGCAACAGCAACCCGGCCGTTAAATCACAAAGAATTAATAAAATCCTCTGTGAGCACGAGCGGCTGCATCGCAGCGGGGTGAGTCATTCCCAGGTTGTTCTTGTTTTTGCTGTTGTTTTGTTGGGGTTTTTTTTTCCTTGTAAATATGAAAGACCCTTTCAATGGTCACTGCTCCACTGCAACTGCCCCAGAGCAATTAAAAAAAACCCAACCTCCAAATGCCTACAACAGCTTTTGTGCATCAAAGCAGCTGCTTTCAGACACCAACCAAGTGACAAACAGCTCAGCCCACAGATCTCGAGCTTCCAAAGGAGCTGGGAGCCAGGCGGCAGGAGGGGTAAATCCACAGCTGGGATGAATCGGGACAGACTTTTCCAACCAACGCATCTCGGGGACAAACCTCAGCCCCCTTTGCCAGTGCTCACCCAGCCCACAGCCCCTAGCAGAGCCCAGAAGAAGCTCTCGGGGTGCCGGAGCAGCACGGATTAAGGAGGGAAAACATGGGCGAGCAGCTGCCTCCTGGTTTCGGCAAGGACTGACCCGGGGGGACATGCGGAGCAATAAATAATTGGTTCATTAAGAGCAGGGCTTGCCCCAGATGTGGTCAAAGGGACAGTGAGAGACAAGCAGGGACAGGGATGGGAGGGGACCTGCCAACGGGAAAGTTGTAGGCAAGTCGATCACGTTTAGTCCTGGCAGCTCCAGGTCTTTGGGAGGATGAAGATGGGGATGAAGGTGCGGGGAGGTGACAGCCGAGAGCTGGTGGCAGGGCTGGGAAGGGAGCGAGGTTTGGGGAGGAGGAACAGGGATGACCGGTGGCAGCAGTCGCCTGTCCCCGGGGGTCCTGTCTGGCCGCGTGAAGATGCTGGAGGGACAAACCCATCGGTGACGTCCACCTGGCCATCGTCCCCAGCCGTGCCTGTCTGCGAAGCTGGGGGAAGGCAGGGAACAGTGAAAGGGGAGGGGGGGGGGGGATGGCAAGATGGGGTCCTCCCCAGGATCTGCGCCCCACTCCCTGGGGAGGGGCTCCTGCAGCATCCCAGTGGGACGAGCACGCGTGGAGGGATGGAGCCACAAGCACCTGAAGGGACTTGGAAGCACAAAGCTTCCCCAGAGCCGGGGAGGGATGGCTCTGCCTCCAGGGCCCGCCATGCCCGGGGGGAGATATTTGGGGGCTGAGCAGAGGGGCAGCTCCCCTCTCCTCCCAGCGTGCCCCCCAGACCCTGCCTCAGGACCTGCTCCCGCTCTCCCCCAGGTCTCAGCTCATCCCTGAGCCCCTGCAGGGAAGCAAAACAGTTTGTGACAAATGCGTGATGGGGCCAAATTTTGCGTCTTCCTTGAACAACCCACAAACGGTGGCGGATCAGCCCAAAAGCACACAGCCACCTCAGCCACTCCATCTCCTCCGTGGACGGACCGCGATGCCTCAAACCCCCTGCAAAAACTCACCCCATCACATGCCAAGCAGGAGAGGCACTGTGTCGTGTCCCCCGCCCCAAACAGGGGTTTTTATCGGGGCAAGCATGGCAGAAAAGGTTGCAAGGCCTGAAAATGCCATCCCGCCGGGCAGCAGCAGCCCAGGGCTGGATTTGCTTTGGGTGCGTGGGGTTGTGGGTTTTTTTTTTTGTTACAAACGCACATTCTCATTTCTCAGGCAGGTATAAATATTGTCGTTTCTAGTAGAAAAACAAAACAAAACAAAACAACAAACTTCCCTCTAAATAATATAAAGAAGACTCAAATGATTGCACTTAATATATGAAAAAGGTAGAAAGGAGGATATCCTAGTGCACAAACATTTACTCCTGCTCTTCACAAAGCTTGCTTTTCTGAGTTACTCTTTGGCAGAGCTTGTAAGAAAGTCTGGTTTCTTGGCACAAGTGTCTGGGGTAGGGGGAAATAAAACAAAAAACTGAACCCGGCTGAAAGTCCTTCTCCTTTGCTCCCTGTTTTCTCCCGTGCAGCCAGACATTGTTCTCCGGGAACGTGGCTTGGCTGTGCTTTCCCCCCAGCGCCAGCGCGGCTCTCCGGCGGGACGGCCACTGGAGCCACCACGGTTGCCGTTTGCTGGCGTGTTTTGCCAATCTCTCCTTTAAATTTTCTTTTTAATCCAGTATACTTTTAAAAATTCTTTTCCCCCCATCTCTGCAAAGCGATGCCGATACCCATGATCCAGGCGCTGCGATAAATACGGCGTTACCTTCTCACACTCCTCTGCGAAAGGGCTCGGTG